GGGTTTGCCAACGGAGGGTATGCCAACAGTTTGGTTTTTTTTGCCACAAATTGGTGAGACATGTCAGAGGAAAGTCATTGGAACATCTGCTGCATTTGATACCCGCATAGCCTCTCACAGCAGGCCCGATATTTCCATGCGTGTTAGATTTCTGCAATCTGAAGATCAGGATGGTCAATAGACGTGTACTATAGAGTGCTCACGCTACTCGCAGGACACAGAGGCCTCGGCCCCAAGAGCTGGTGAAGGGTTTGGACTCGAGACTGAAACCTGAAAAAAAAAACATTTAAAAAAGGAGAACTATGGGGTTAAGGCTTTTCCCCCATAGTTCTCCTCAGGGTAACGGGAGGACACAAACTAGCGTCCTCCCGTCACCCTAAGCTCAGTATATAGGGAGCTACAGCTCGCGGTATACTGAGACGCCGCTGCCGGAGCGGATCCCGACAATTGTGCCAGGATCCGCCCAGCTGCGTGACTGACAGCTGGCTCTGCCTATCTAGAGGCAGAGCCAGATGTACCCGCCCCCTCCCCCGTCCGTTCCGCCAGTCAGCGCTGGCAGATCGGAGCGGGGAGAGGGGAATCCAGCCCCTCCCGTCATGGCAGAGAGCCGTGACAGGATCGAGAGGTGAGCGAACGCCGGTATCTGTTCCCTCACCTCCCGATCTACTGAGCCGACCTGTGACAGTCTCATTGTCACAGGTCGGCTAGAACTATGAGGTGAGTGAAAAGCCCCTCCCCCCCTCATAGTTCTCCTTTAAAACTAAAAACGTAATGACTCACATTCTTTGACGGTGTTCCCCTTCATGTAGATGAGGCTCAAAATGACTGTGAGCAATCCTAACTTGGCAGTGTCGTCGTTCCTAAAAATCAAAAAGGAAAATTTCAGGAGGTTACAGAAATCTACGTTTCACGGTCTGTTCTGTCTAAAGTCGCCGTGCTGCTGTATAGACGCGGCCATTGGGGATCACAACTCCTCCACAGGGCAGCGTTATGTTGAAGGTGGCGGCCAGAAGAGACAATCTGGTTCTCCGGCTGGCTGCTATAAAAAGGGTAATTTCCTGCTACACACCAGAAAAGGGGACACCCGACAGCAGCACGCATCGGATAATTGTAACAGGAGGATTTGAAGAGTAAAAAGGCATTTACAGATCACCAGAACTTCACAATTCCAATACTGAACCCGCTTTGCCAAAATGACTGCTTATTGATCCGAGAAAGATGTCCAAACCACCAACCACTTCACCACCCACATTTCAGTCCTTCCTCGCCCCATTCCCCTTATAATCCAGGGATCCTAGACCACTGGACACTTCCTGGTGTCTTCTACCACCGTCACAGTGCTCTCGTTTCTGTGAAAACCCATTGCTGATGGTTAAGGCCTGGTTCACACCTTTCCGTTTTGTAGCGCGTTCAACGCTCTACAAAACGTACAAACTTGAAAATCCCATTGTTTTCTATGGGTATGGTTCAGCCCGTCTGAACGCGCTACAAAACGGCCTGTACATGTACTTCTTTGGGGCGTTTTGGTCTCGCGTTTCCATTGGGATACAGCCAAATAGCCCTCGGTAAAAACGCGCGACAAACGCGCATATTCAATACGCCTAGGTGTGAACCCAGCCTAAAGGGTATTGCGTTTAAAAGTAGAACTATGGGGTCAGTGCTTTTCCCTATAGTTTTCCTCTGGGTCATGGGGAGGACACTAGTTTATAAAGCTCACTATACAGCAAGCTACAGCAGGAGGAAGAGAGTGAGGGGGGGGGGGATCCCTGCAGGGAGCCGTGACAGTCACTTCTCTCTGCAGGGACAGGATCGAGAAGTGAGCGAACGCCGGTATGTGTGCGCTCACTTCCCGATCTACTGAGCCGACCTGTGACAGTCTCATTGTCACAGGTCGGCTCCAACTATGAGGATGAGTGGGGGGAGGGAAATCGCTCACCTCATAGTTCTCCTTTAATGAACGGCCCTCACTACAATTTCATGCATAGCCCAGTCCTTATTGCCTCCTCTCAGAAGAATCCTCCTGAGAATGAAAGGATCTATGAAATCGGGACTTAAGGTGCCAAATAACACCAACAAAAAATATTGAAAAATGCCATGTTACTTTACAATAGTAGATAAAATCATTGAAATATATTAGGGATGCACAGATACTTCGAGTACCAGTGCCGATACTTGGCATTTTCATGAGAACTCCCGGGGCTGCAGATGGGACCGGGCTCTGGCGCTCCACCACTGTCCTGATATCATTAGTCTGTATTGTTTTAGAAAAACTGTCACATGACACTAAACACAAATGTATCAGTACTCGTACTTGTAAGTACTCGGCAAGTACCAGTACTCGCAAAACTGGTATCTGTGCATCCCTTTATATTTATAAAAACAAAATCGTACATTAAAACAGAGATGTACAAATCCCGGGAGCTCCGTGTGCTCCTTACACATGACAGCTGCCGCCTAACTTTTTAATTTTTCTCTAGTGTAGTCTTGGAGCTCAAAAGTATCGGTACATGTACTTGATATCGGTGAGGCCCTAAAATATATGACATTTGAATGCAGCAAAGTTTCCTTCATATGTCTTCCGAAATGATAAAGTTACCTCTGGAAGCCAACGTCAATACTCCCCGGCGTAGAAGACGGCGGCAGTCACCAGCAGTCCAGCTATCAAACACTAGAAATTCGGTCAATTCAAGTATAGCGGTGGAAGCAGCTTGGATTTCATGAATGAATGAAGCACTTTAACCCTGAATTCATACCAATCTAGTGTCTGATAGACCACAAAGGGCTGTGTAGCTGAGGAACTTCCCATCCTCCTCAGCTCCATCTAGTAATGCTCTGTGACCGGCATTTGTCAGACTATATTCTGGGTGAGCTACCGTGTTTCCCCGAAAATAAGACACTGTCTTATATTCCCCCCCAAAAAAAACCAACAAAACACACACTAGGTCTTATTTTTTTCCCCTTCTCCAGTACATTACATACCGGTATCTCTGCTCTGTGTGACAGCAGTGTGCCTCAGCCTCCACGGCATATTTTATCATCATCAATTAATTAGAGATGTTTTATAAAACAGTTTTATCTCTACCGCATTATTTAAATTATGGTAGAAAAAAAAGTATGTGAGGGGATCCTCAATGGGGACATTATAGACTGCATACTTTCCCCATTGAGGATCCCCTCACATACTTTTTTTCTACCATAATTTAAATAATGCGAAGTGCCCGAGGCACACTGCTGTCACACAGAGCAGAGACACCGGTATGTAATGTACTGAGAATTGGAGTGAAAGAATAGTACTGTGACTGTCACAGTACGGTACCTGGCTGCAGCTGTCTGGAGCTCTGTAATGCCATCCAGGGAGCCAATCAGATCACCTCAGCTTTGACCCCACTGGCCATGCCGCTGGGCCTGCTGGGAAACGTAGTTTTCCAGCGGCAGCTCTAATTTCCTAAAAGCCGAGGACCCGGGGGCAGACGGGCCAACAGGAGGGGATGAGAGAATGAAGGAGCTGCGGCGGTCAGAAAGTTTTTTGCGATCTTGCAGACAGGAGACAAGCTGCACATACCGGTATCATTGATTTTTACACTCCTCGCTTCACTCCAACACACCCCTTGCTGGCTGCTTGGGTGCATGTACATGTGCGCCCCCTACCGCTGAACTAGGTCTTATTTTCGGGGTAGGTCTTATATTACAGAAATCCCTGAAGATAGCGATAGGTCTTATTTTCGGGGTAGGTCTTATTTTCGGGTTAGGTCTTACTTTATGTATGGTATGTACTTTATGCATGTACGGTATGTATGAAATCAGCCCCATAGTATTCCCAAATTACAGAACGAAGGGCAAACCTAGAAACGCAGCACCATGTACCAGACACAATCATGGATCTGAAACTCTAGCCTCCCCCACCCCCCTCCTTTCCCCATCACCCGTGTAAAAAGTTTAGTATTCATGTCTCACACTTTCATTCCGTCCTCTTGGACAGGCTCTAGTCTGTTGGTAAGAACATAG